ATGGATATAAGTAATTTTACAAAAATTTAACATTTTTTGTTTTTAAAACTATCAAAAAATAGTTTCTCTTCCTCAAATTCTTTGCAATCTTACGTTCTATGACATTTTCACAGCTCAAAGGAACTACACAAAATAGGTAGTTACCAATAATAGGTTTTCAAGTATATAATCAATTTCAAATGAGTAAATATTCAGGAGATCTGCCTTCAACACTTTTTGTGAGTCTGTCTTCTATCGTTTCTCCTGTTGCTGAACTCGAACTTCTCTGCAATTACATTGGGAAAATTACTCCCATTAGCCTAAATTTTATATTTGTTGAGAAGACTTTTACACATTTTTTGTGTTATTTATTAAATTATTGAAAGAAGCACGACATGTTTGGAAAATGGACTCTTGAAGCATTTATTTTCATTCTGTCTATTCCACAGAGCTTAGCAATTGCTATTATAAATGAATATTTAATTATGCATGTGTCTAAGACGTTCACATATACGTCACCACTGCATTGAAGGCTATCGTATCAGTTAAGAAGAGGACAAACACTTTTTTTATTTTTTTTTTGTTGAATGAGTTACCCTCTGAGCAAAGTAACCCCACTTTAGTATTACAATTAATGATTTATCGTTATAAATGATTTTAGTTAGTCTGTAGATGTTCGTTGGTTTCAATATTTTTTCTTTTTTTCAGCGAACATATCTGAGACGATAACTGACGAACTGATGCAGAGGTGGTATGGTCCAGATGTCATCGTGGCTGAGCTGAAGAGGAGAAGTGGAGAAACGATCCAGATGAAGATGATAGATGTGCCAATCACGGAAAAGCTGGAGAAGTTCGTCGAGGATGTCAAGTAAGTGGAACGCTGCTAGTTTACATTCCAAATAATTTTCTTTAAGATGAGTATGTCACTATAATCATACTTATTTTTATCAAAATCGGAATTTTCACAATGTTATAATTGTTGGCAATAATTCAAAAGAAAGCAAAATATTTCTTTTGAAAAATCATAATGTGGCAGTTCTTAAACTTGTTGCTTTTGTAGTTGCGTAAAAAAATTTTTATGGTATCCTTCATCAATGTTCTAAACTGATTATCTCTGACCCACATTGTATATCGATTTTTATGTTGCTAGAATTATTTTTTGAAGAATTATTGTGTTAAGATATTGGATCAGTTACATTACCTTTCCTACATCTTTTTCCTACAGCAGGAAGTCGGGTATTAGATACATAGATTTATTCTCAATTGATACACAAAAGTGCTTACAGTCGTCAGTTACATAAATGAATGTCATCAGATTATAAACCAATGGCTAGTTACATGAGTCAGAATAAATATCTTAAAATGTTAGTTTAACTAATACAACATATATGCACATAGACAAAAACTTACTAAATATAGTTAAAATAAATAAAAGTTTACCAATTATGAGAACACATGCTTTATCCGGTCATAATAATCATTTGTACTGTATAAACACATATCCTTCAAGATTTCTTTAATTTTATTTCTGAAACTAGTCAATGACACGTTTTGTATATGGTCTGGATGCTGGTTGAAATAGCTTATTCCTACTATTTTGGTTTTGTTAATTCTATGGCGAGGTTGTAAAATATGATTTTCCCCCTGGTGTTAAATGTGTGATTAATTCTGTAATTTGAAAAATTATCTATGTGTTTTCTAATACATATAAGATTTTCGAACACAATGCTGGAGTAGAGTCATAATACCTAGTTTTTCAAAAATTGGTTTGCAAGAGTCATCAAATTTGGCTTTTACAATTGAACACACAGCAGCCTTTGCACCATAAATAGTCTTTGCAAGTGGGTATCAGCTGCCCCAACTAAATATTCCATATGTCATGAGAGAATGAAAAAGTGCATAGTAAACTGTAATAGCAATATCTTTATTAGTGAGATGTGATATGCTGCGTATGGCAAATACTGTTTTTGACAATTTGCTACACAAATAGTCAATTTGAGGTATCCAAGACATGTGATTTTCTAAATATACACCAAGAAATTTGACACATTTAGTTTCAACAGATGTATAATCAGTTGTAAAAATACAAGTTTGAGTTTTATTGTGATTTAGATACAATTCGTTGAAATCAAACCATTCTTTTGCCGTTGACATAATATTTGTAGGAATAATAAAAGGTTTTCATTTTTGTTATTAGAATATATGAAGTTTGTATCATATGCATACACTATTGTAGTTAAGTTGTCATATATATTGGTCATAAAATCAGGTAAATCATTTATGTAGATTAAAAATAGAAGAGGTCCCAATATGGACCCCTGAGGAACTCCTCTTTTTGAAGTCAGTTTCTCACTGAATTTATTATCCCTGTACACAGCTTGATATCTTCTTTCTAAGTAAGAACATATTAATTTGTTCGCTAGTCCTCTTATTCCATACCTGTGAAGGTTTTCTATGAGCTTGGTATGAATTACACAGTCAAACGCCTTAGAAAGATCGGTAAAGATTGTGATGCATTTATTTATTTATTTTCATGAATATTGTTAATGAGAGCCATAATTGCATCGGAGGTGCTTTGGCCTTTCCTGAAACCGTATTGACAAGTTGAGAAAAGATTGAATTTTTCTAGATATTTAATTATTTTGTTGTGCTATGACTCTTTCTAGTATTTTCGAAAAACTGGGTAAAATATGAATTTGACGGTAATTTACTGGTAGGGTTGGGTCCCCACTTTTATAGATAGGCAGTACCTTGACTGTTTTAAGTAAGTCAGGAAATGTTCCCTCTAGTAAGCTGCTGTTTATTATTTCAGTTATTGAACCAACGATATTATGTGAGATGCACTTGATCAGATTAAAACTTATTTCATATATATCCTGAGTTTTTTTTAGAATTTTATGTCGGAAATAATAGTACTTGTTTCATATTCATCTACAGGCTGAAGGAATATGGAGTGTGATCCTTTATTGCCATATTTGTGATTTTTTGATGATGTGCATAAACCAGTGTCGATGTTGCTAACTAACTAACATTATTTCAATATGACCACTGTTGCCAAGTCATTCTTATGCTCAGCAGTAGATTTTTTCTATGAAAAACAGTAGATTGATGCAAATAACAGTAGAAAATATATTTTATACATTCTACACACTAGCAATTTTCACTATTTACAGTCATTCAATAATAAAAGGGTCATCAGTAGATTTGAACTTCCAAAGAATTTTAACTCGAGAACCAAAACAGAGCTACTGTAAAAACAGTAGACCTGGCAACACTGAACATGGCGCTCCTCTCGTGCGATTTCCTCTTTATCTATTCCGTAGTCTTGTTGTATTATGTTTTCGTTGTGAAAGATCTGACCTTTTCCTCGAGGCATTGAAAATAACATGGACATAACCACAATCATTCTTGAGTTATGAATGTTGTAACTAACGCTATTTTGCGGCTTGCCAATTATTTCAATGGTTCACTTCTGTAACCGGCAACTTCCAAGCTAGTGTTCAATTGTTTCGAGAGTCAAAATCCACTGATGACTTCACTATTCGTGAAGATTATTAACTGATTGTAACTGATGGAAATCACCATGTATGCAGTATGTATCTATAAAATATATATTCTACTGTGTTTTATCAATCTCCTGATTTTCTGACACAAAATGTACTGCTAAGAATGAATACGGCTTTGAATTTCACTAACAGAATATAAAAAGTTGATAAAACTCAGCTAACTACTGAACACAAAAATTATCAAATTCTAATCATTTGTTTCCTAGAAACTTGATCTCCTGAGGACGTTAACTATTCTTTGAAATATTCATAGAATGTTAACGTTNCGGGTGATCTGAAGAAAACAAGAAAACTCGTAAAGACGAGCATTCGAAATCATACACATATATAGAACGTGATGCAATATTAACTGCTTATCTCGTTTTAATAAAATCAGCCGTCTCTTATCAGCAATATAAGGCTGTGGAAGGTATTGGTGGATTCAATCGAATCTGTATTGTCTACGGGGTATCGGAGGAGTTTCCTTTTCTCGCAATTTGAGGAAAATTTACTTGATCTGTTCCGTTCGGTATTTAAGATAAACGCGGAAACAATATGGTGGCTATCGACGTTTTATTGTATCAGCTGGCCGCTTTGTCTGATGGGCGGTAAGTTTATTTTTTACAGTTTAATTTTAAGTTTTTGAAACTATGATTAACAATCCATATTTTCAGAATAATAAAATAAGAGAATGAATTGGCAAAATTGATTCACTTGTTTATTTGTATAATTTCATCAAAATTCCTTCCACTTTCAGCATTGCTTTCACCTCTACCATGCTACAGATGTGTGAACTTTTGATTCATTTTGTAATGCGGATAAAGTATATTCAGACAGCTCTATTTTTGATATGATGCACCTTTTGACTCGATTTTTTCAAATAAGAATATAAGAAAGAAAATACTTTGGATTAAAAAAAAAGTGTTTGTGGAACTCTATAAAATTCGTAGAAAAGATGTTCACCTCTAGCACAAATATATTATTAGGTTAAGTTATTTTAATCGTTCTATAAAATGGTTTCCATTGGGAAATATTCAAGAAATATACAAGAATATACAAGAAATATTAACAAAATATTGTATATATACTGTATCAGACTACTTTATTTTGGATTTAATATCGTATGGGAATGTTTTTGCTGGAATTGATATATTCAAAGATACCCTCGACAGTTTTTGTGCAATTCACTTCTTTAATACAGCCCCCATAAAGTGGATTATACTTATAAAATTTTTATAAATTTATCAAGAAACAAATATTTGAATAATTCCCAAACTACCAGTATAAATCACACTTTTTTGTGTTTTGTAGAGAGATATGACATGGTGTAATGGTTTATCGAATGTTTGGTTGGGTTATTGCAAGGTTTTATAAGTTATGGCAGAACGGTAAAAAAATTTAATAATAATAAATTTTTTTGGACATATTCGAAGACATATAATTTACCACTCATCACATATTCAAAAACAACAAATAAGGATTTTCCAATTGTTTCTTCAACACTTTCACGAATCGCGCCATGGTAGCGCCATCTATGATCCGATGATCAGCCGAACCACTTATATTGATAATTTCTTCTGCGATGATGTTCTTCGATGAGTCGAATCCAGGTACTATTTTGGTTGCACCAACCGCTATGATGGCCACTTGCGGGGTGAGGATCAGCGGCTTCGTGTAAGTTCCTCCTATTGAACCGACATTGGATACGGTAAAGGTACCTCCCGATAAATCGCTAGGAGAAAAATTACCGTCTTTACCATTTTCAATGAGCCTCTGTAGCTCGCTGGAAATCTCCATTATGGATAAATTTTCCACGTTTTTTATCACGGGTACTGCTAATCCTAAGGCCGTATCCATGGCTATACCGATATTGTGGGACTTGTGGTAGATTATGTTTTCACAATGCTCGTCCACTGAAGCATTTATGATCGGATAACGTTGTAAAGCGTTGGATACCGCCTTCACAAAAAATGGCACCAGCGATAACTTCGTGTCGTGTGATTCCCTCAGATTGCTTCGCACTTTCGACAGTTCTGTCACCTTTATTTCGTCACTGTACACGAAGTGTGGGATTTTCATGGCTTCTGTCATAGTTTTTACCATGGCTTTCTTGAAACCTTTGATGGGCTCTATTCTGGCTTCATCGGTAACAGGAACTTTCGTCGGTTTTGGTCCTTGGATATGTTTTAGAACGTCTTCTTTCAGGATTCGACCTTGTTTGCCCGTTCCCTTTATGTTCGCTAGATCTAGTTTGTGTTCCTTTGCTAACCGACGGACGGAGGGTATGCAAAAAGCTTCGTTGTGGGACTCTTCGACATGTTCATCTTGTCTCGTTTTCGTTTCTTCCATTATCGGCTTATCTACTGTTTCTGTCACGTCATTAGCGCCCTCTACGATATCAGAATCCGTTTCTATATCTATTAGAGGTTTTCCTACTAAAGCGATATCGTCCACCTTGTAATGCAACTTTGAAACAACTCCGTCATACCTGCTCGTTATGGTCACGGATGCTTTATCACTTTGAACTTCGCATATGTTGTCGAATTGGGACACTTTATCGCCAGCTTTGACGTACCACTCCTTCACCGCGACTTCTCGTATGCCTTCCCCAATATCGGATAGATTGAAGGCCACTTTGGCAGCTAGTTTTCGGTACACGTGTAGGTGTTTTCCTTGCACAACCTTGTTTTTGGTCAATAATTTGTTTAATATCGATAAAGCTCTACAAGATGTCGACATGTTAACAGTCTACTATCTGATACTACTTTGAACGTTGGCATTGACGATTATCTTGTTTGAATACAATCGGGAATTGTGTAATCGCGGAGTCGCTTTAATTATTCGGTTATCATCGGAATAATGATAATGAGCTGCCTTATGGTTCAAGAAATCGTACGATAAATTTTATTAGTTGAATAGTGTTTCGAAAGAGACAGACTGATGCTTTCGTTTTCAAAAGATATTCAAATTTATTTCTTACAGTGTGTTCATGTACTTGATATTAATTCATACTGTTTGAATTTCATGCTCGCGTAGGTTTTATGTTATTTAACCTACCGTCGTATGGATATAACAAAATTTAATATAATATAATATAATTGTTTGAATTTCATGCTCGCGTAGGTTTTATGTTATTTAACCTACCGTCGTATGGATATAAGTAATTTTACAAAAATTTAACATTTTTTGTTTTTAAAACTATCAAAAAATAGTTTCTCTTCCTTGTTTGTCAAATTCTTAGTGATTCAAACATAATTGCTGTTACTCTTTTTTGAACATATTTTGGTTTTATGTTACATAGAAGTTGAATATGTGTGTACGAAATTTTCTCATTAATTTCCAAATAGCAATATTTCAATATTAATTTATTTGTTAGACAAACATGCTTGAGTCCAACCTTTGATTATGAAAAATCAATATTTTTTGTTATAGAAACATCGGATTATAAAAAGAAGAATACCCATCGACTATTTACACGTGATTGATGTTTGAAAAATAGTACACGTCCAAAATAAACCCCTTTAGATATTTTTTCGAATAAAATTTCCATTGTTAACACCATCTTCAAAGCGTTGCTCTTTATATGAATATATTCAAAGCACACGCGTATCACAATTATCAAGTTATATGGTTAAAGAAATATGTTTTAAAATCTATTTTTCCGGCGACAGCTGATTACCGGAAAAATAGATTTTAAAACAGAGTTTTTTTTTAATGTAGCATAAATATATGAAAACGCACATGACTTTTCAGTAATCATATTACACTTTCACTAGATCCAAAACAAGCACATTTCCCAATCACCAAAAATGCAATACTCTTTTTGACACGCTTTTCACCAACCAAGTTGCCGTTTTCAGCTTTCAGAATAATTTTGTTGCTGCTTTACCTTCTTTTAGCAGTTCGGTTGACGAAGATTCAGTAGATTTTTAAGAATGATCGTAATGAGTTTTAGAAACCTTCCAGCATGTCCATTTCATTCGAAAAACATGGCAGCGTGTGTTTTCTTTCGTCTTTTGAAACGCCCATTTCTACATTCTTGTCCCCTGTATTATCCGGTCAAATTAGACCAAAAAATAGAAATGGAGGTACAAAATTCGCACCCAGCTCAAAATTGTTAGGATTGTTCAAAATACTATCATAAATGAAATCAAAAAAATCCTCATCAATCCGATACCTGGAAAAAAATTTACTCGGTGTCCAAGTTCACAAAAACGGGTTTTACGCGATTTGCAGCTATACGGTCAGTTTTATCATGAAACTAGTTCCGGCAAAAATTGTAGATCCGATAATTATCTATAAAAAATGTTTCGATACTTTTTTCCTAAGAGCCACCCTTCTTGAGATAACGATTCAGAAAGTTAGAAGTTAGAATAGTTTTGTAATCGTCATAATATGCACACTTGCAGACGTGTCAACCGCCACGCCATCAATTGAAGAAGTGTACTCAGCGCATTTTTTCATCGTTGTTTCCCGGGTAAGCCCATTCCATCGATCTGTTATGATTCTGTTTAATTTGAAACTAATGAATAATAATAAAAGATATTGGTGAGGGTTGAAAATGATGAAAGCGATGTAAACTAAAAAAAAATTGTGAAATTTATTCGTATGATTCATAATTATCTGATACTTCTGCTTCCTTTTCTTCTTTTTCTTCTTCTCCTTGTTCTTCTTTTTCATCCTGGGTGCAAGCAAATTGCCCCAATAGTGATACATCGCATGTCTCCTCGTTTTTATCAAACGAATCCTCAACTGTTGGTGATTCAACATTGGAGCATGACCGGCCTTGACAAATTGTACATGCTAGAGAACAAAACAGTCCAACATTTTTACAACCAAATTTAGCACTGCATCCTTTTTTACAGTTGCAAAAAATTGTGTTTAGCGCTAAGTACAGTACCTCAAAGGTGGCGTGGAAACGTGTGCAAATTATGACGATTAAAACTTTTACAACTTTTTGAATCATTATATCTCAGAAACTGTGGCTCTTAGGTTTCATTCATGATGGTGTTTTGAACAATTCTACCAATTTTGAGCTGGGTACAATTTTTTTGCCCTAATCAATATTCACTGAGATATTACACTTTAAAGCAGACATTTTGAAAAAAAATAAAACATTTCTTATCTCAATACCGAATTTAGGCACCTCTAGTTCTTCGACACGCGTCTCCAATGCTGCCCCCTTTCACCCCCCTTCATAAAAATAATAATTTACTACCTTTTCTTACTGACGATATTATTGCAGGTTCGTTATAAAATGTTATTGAGACATAAATCTTTCTGCTATTATTGTAGCAATGTTACAAAATCGGCGTATTTTCATTTGATGAAATCTGGTAATGAAGATAAGATTAAAATTATTTCCACATACGAAAACAAGTGAAATAATATTGAATTGAACCGGATCATAATTTATTCGAGCACAATTTCAATTTTGAAATGTTCCATGTGTTAAACGTTTAATGAATCATTGGCTAAAAATACTTCCAGGGGACATACAGGTCTAATAAGATTTTATGGTTATAGCTGATTTGTAAATATTCACTTATAAAGATACGGAAAATGTGGTACCTAAAATGCAGGCAAATATGTTGATTAATAAATTTGAATATAATAGGCATTGACTTATCAGCCATGATTTTTTATTATTTCGAAGAATTTTATGTTTTGAAAGAACTTGCTCTTGATTTTGCAATAGACAAAATTATTATGAATATTCAAGGTGATAGTGACAATGAAATTACCAGTGAGAATAGTGATAACCCTACAAGCGATTCCGATCTGCCTGTAGTTGAACCTTTAATTCGGTATATTTTTGTTTGGATTCATTTACATTAATAAATATGTTTCCCAAGAAAATTTCATTTTGAAATTTAGTATTCAATCCAAATTAATAACATTTTCAGAATAAGTCTTTTTATGTTGTCTTAATAAACCCGAAATTAAATGCAATTCACAATGCTGAAAAACAAACTCATTCAAATTCAATTACGTAAATACCGCATTATCATACTAAACAAATAATTGACTATCAATTAAAAAACCATCAACCTTTATTGCAACTTGCGGTGAGGACCAAGTCGCACGGTAGTTGGAAGACCTATTATAAATTATTTTTTGCCTTAAATCTCTTAGTCGATCTTGTTGGATAAGAGGTTCAGGAAAAGGCAATCGGACTAAGGTATTTTGCAACAGCCGACGGAATTTTGGAACAGTTGATCTTCTCAACGCATTATATCCAAGTGAAAAATCTAAACCTTTGCACTCTGTATCCTTTTCCGCGACGCAGGCTTATAATCTCTGCAAAGGATTCAAATCTTGACATCGAACAGTGACGTAGATTTTTCAACTTTTAGGGGGGCTTCTTAGCAATGAGACAATGAACAAAGACAGCCAACTCCGTGATGAACTAGTCGATCAGACGATCATCAAAATATAAGATATTCGTCGTGAAGTCATCAGAATTCATTTGACACTCTCTACACTCCTTTGTAAACGCTTTTTCTGCTCGTAGGAGTACATATTTGGCAAAGAAATGCCATTCCTTTCCTGGAAGATCACGATCAATGGAAGAAAGAAGAGCATATTATTGTAGGGCCGTTTAATTTATTTTCCTAGTGCGAGTGTTTCTAAGGGAAGCGACCCACAAAATACCTGACTGTTGAAAACGTTTGGGACAAAATGAAAATAAAAACAGTAAAGAAATGCACTAGAATACAGGGTGTAACTAAATAAGTGTAAAACATTTAAGGAGGTGATTCCTCATCGAAAAAAAAATTGGATCTTTCATATAATGAAATTTCATTGGAGCATCCCTTGTTAAGATACAGCCCCTTTAAGGGGGTACATAAAATTTGTATAACAATTTTTTAACAAGCACTAAAAAAATTACAACATTGAAATTAACCTGACGTTTTGTATTACCAAAAAGACACTTACCCAGAAATTTATTTGGTTTACCCTATGGTTGTAAGGGTTGGAAAACGCAACCCCTAAAATTTTATTTCCAATGTAACTTTTTGTTTTATTATTTGTTTACCATTTAAAACTCAATTTCCGATTGCCTGTTCCATTCTAAACAAAAAATGTCTCTTGAGTTTTTTGCCCAAAATAAACCAGTCCGCAGCAAAAAATTATTTCACGAACAACTACTAATGCGAAAATACGAAACTAATCTATCTAATAGGTCGCTATTAGCGATTGTGACAATTAAATTGATATGACGCTGTCAGTTTGTGAATTTTCGAAATTGAATTAATACTAATTGTGTGTTGTTGTTCTGTTCTTAATTTGTTACATTAATAATTCACTTGTTATTAAAATGGCATACACA